CCCCCGTCCACGCCCCCGTCCACGCCCCCGTCCACGCCCCCGTCCACCGGTGGATCTACTTAAGCAGACAGATGCGTGTGATGCAAAAGGAGGGCCCTTGGGGACCTGGGGAACCTAGCCTGGGGACCTGGGGACCTGGGGGCCTGGGGCGGCCATCTGCAGGACCATTCCCGGGTGAGGCCCAGGAGCCAGAACGCTGAGTCTGGACTTTGCTCTGGGGCCCGAGGCCACCGAGCTGCCCACCTGCTGGTCGCCCATGTATTCCCCAAAGTGGAAGACGCGGGCCTTGAGCTCCAGCTCAGAAGCCATCTCTTCTTCCTTGGCAATGGACATGGTCATCGTGGTCACCCACTGCTTCAGCTGCTGGACCTCCCTGTCCCTGCATGGGGGGGGGGGGGGGCACGGCCCCTAAGACAATAAACCCTCTGCTTTAGGACGGGGAGGCCCAAAGGGTAGAGGGGGGGGTGGAGGAGGGTAGGCCCCAAAAAAAAAATTTTGGGGGGGGGGGCACCAGGGGTTGATCCAGAGGCGGTGACCCACTGACCCCGTCCCCAGCCCCTTTTACTTTTTATTTAGAGACAGGGTCTCGCTGAGTGGCTTAGGGCTTTGCTTATTGTTGAGGCTGGCCTCCAACTCGTGATCCTCCTGCCTCAGCCTCCCTAGCTGCTGGAATGAACAGGCGTGGGCCACTGCGTCCGGCTCCCTCAAGGTCTTTCGGGGCCTCCTGGTCGTGATCGATGAGCCCACTACCTCACTCCTCCAAGAAGCCCTTGCTGGCCCCCAGCCATCCCTTGCTGGCCCCCAGCCATCCCGCCTGGGGGACACTACAGTAGCTCATGGCTGCGTCTGCTCGTGCCCCTGCTGAGCAGCTGGCTCTCAGCAAGAGCAGGACGACACCCTGCACAGGGACCCAAGGGTGTGCGGTGGGCAGCCAGACCTCCCTCTGTGGCCCCCAGCCTGGGACCCCGCCCTGCAGCAAAGGGGGGCGGGGGAGGAGGACGCACATGCGCACATGCGTGCTCTTCAGGGTGAGGTTCAGCTCCTCCAGCGTCTCCTCCATCTCCTGGGTGTTCTGGATCAGAGACAGGTTCTGCTCCTCCAGGTCCGTGAAGATGTCCAGCAGCTGCTGCGGCTCCGTGAAGAACAGCACGTGTTCCTGCAAGGATGGCGTCCGGCAGGGGCCGCAGGGGACCCTGGGGCAGGAGGGGCAGCTGCCTGGGCCCATGGGGGGAGGGGGGTGCAGGGCTGAGGGAGGGGAAGGCACAGCCAGGTCACCAACCTCCTCATCGCTGTCCGAGTCCTCCGGCATGGGGTCAGAGCTGGGCCTGCGAAGAGGTGCTGGGGTCGGTCAGGGCTCGGAGGGGGACCAGCCTAGGTGGCCCTATGGGTGGAGCATCCTGCCCCTTTTATGGCCTTGCAGTCGGGGGACACTTTCAAAATCCCATCAGCAACTCTCTCTCCAGGTAGCATGAACCTCTCTCCAAGTTCATGGCTGCTTCACTGCCCTGTCCACGCCTACCTCAGGGCCTTTGCACCTGCCTCTCCCCCTTGCCATTCATTTCCTGAGGACCCCCTCTCCTCTAAGGCCCGTCTGCATTCAGAGGTGTAGCTCCGCCAGCCACCAGCTCACTCTGCACCCAGAACATATAAAGCACTAACAGAGCCCCGTAAGAATAAGGTATATCAAGGGACAGAAGTCGGACGGCCAGCAGTGGCGCTCGCCGGTCATCCCTGCGACTCGGGAGGCTGAGGCAGGAGGACCGCAAGCAAGCTGGAGGCCAGCCTCAACAGTAGCGAGACCCTGTCTCTCCAATGTGAGAAAGCATTTCTCAGTGGCTCCTGTCCTCTGGGCCCTGCCACAGCTGCAGGGGAGTGGGCAGGTCCCCTGCAAGGCCCCCTCGCCCCTCGTCCTGTCCCCCTTACCTCCCAGGGTCCGGCTGACTGGGCGGCAAGGGCTGGAGGCTGCTGCTGCTACTAGACAGGGCCTGTCCACCCCGTGTGGCCTGCAGACGCTTCAGGGGCTTCTTCACGATGTGAGGCTCTGGGGGACAGAGCAGTGGTCACCTTAAGTGTCCTGGTCTCAGGACCAGGAGCCCCTCCCACCCGGGGTGACCACGTACCTCTGCCCAACAAAGAGGCCATCTTGCTCTTGACCCCGGGTCCTTAGGGAACAAAGGAAGAGATCCCAGATGGCAGGGGCTGAGCCAAGCTTCCGGTGAGTGGGCGGCTGTGAGTGTCCAGGACCCACAGGAGAGACCTCACCCACGGGGCCACACCCCAGCCCCTCTAATATTTTACTTAGAGGCAGGGTCTCACTAAGTGGCTGAGGCTGGCCTCCAACTCACGATCCTCCTGCCTCAGCCTCCCCAGCTGCTGGGAGGACAGATGTGCACGGCTCAAGGCCCCTGTTTTCGAGTTGAGAGTCGCAACCCTCGGTGCAGATGTTGGGCTGAGCCACACGCGGGGCTCAGGGGGTGTGAGTCCAGCTGGGGACGTGAAGGTCGCCAAGGAGCCAGCCGCGTAAGGCCTGAGTGCGGACAAGGGCCTGTCCCCTGGGCACAGGGCCTGGGCCGACAGCAGAGCTCCCCCTGGGACCCACATTCTCTGTTCCACTACCTTTGTCCCCTGGTGCCGGGATCCCACCGCCCTTCGCGGGGGCCTGGGCCACCTCCTTGGCCTTCCTGAGGGCCAACCGCCGCCTCTCCTGTCCCTGCAGCCACTCCTTGGGTGACACCTTGTACAGGAAGTCCTTGTACATCTTGTACTGCTGCAGGGTGTCCTCGAACTTGGCGATCTCGCTAGGCCGGGGAAGGGAGGTCAGTCCCCCTGTCCCTGTCCCCGACCCCGTCCCCTCGGAGACCCTCTGGCTGGCCCCCCCATCCCACCGCGGCCAGCGCTGGCTGGAGAGGACGCCCACCCTGCAGGGGTCAGGAGTGTCTAGGTGGCCCTTGGGGACGCGCTGGCCCCTGTCCACCCTGGGAACTTGTTGCTCTCTACAGCGGGGACCCGAGGCGAGAGGGTGGGTGCGCAAGGAAAGGCCGGGCCTCTACCTCAGCCTCCCGAGAGGCTCCAAGTCACTCCCTGAAGCTGGGCCCAGGTGACCAAGGGGACCAGGGCCGTCCACGGGCCAGCACGGCCTCTGGCCTCACCTCTTGACGTGCATGATCTGGATGGTGAGCTCCCGGATCTCCGCCATCTTATCCATCTTGACTTTGGTCTCCTTCTCAGCCCTGGGAGAGGCAGGGAGGCCAGGAGGCCGGTCACCGATTGAGGCTAAAGAAGGAGCCAGCACCTTGGGCTGAGAGCCCAGGGCCAGAGCAGCCCTAGGGACTGGCCAGGGGCCGGGGGAGAGCCCAGGGTGGTCAGGGTCATGGCTTGGCAAGAGGGGAGGCTGGGGGTGTCCAGCTGAGGTTGGGTGGAGGCCCTGGGTGGAGGCCCTGGGTGGAGGCCCTGGGTGGAGACGTAGGAGGGAGGACGTGGGGACGGTGTCAGGGATCCCCTGGACTCACAGTCTCATGGCCTGGACGGAGTTGGCGTCGTTGTCTCTGAGGAACTCGTCAAAGAGCATGGCGTCCATCTCCAATGACTTCTGGGCCTCCTTCAGCCGGGCCTCTTCCTCGGAGGCCAGGGACTCCAGCCTCCTGATCTCACTCCGCTTCATCTCCACGGCGTACTGGGGGCCGGCAGGACAAGGTCACAGCGCCCACCTGCGCCCTGGCCCCAAGCTGGACGTGGCCTCCCGGGCAGGTGCCGGGAGGGGACCTACCTGGATCAGGAACATCTTCCGCTTCTGGTCGATGTAGCTGCTCAGGGTGTCGGGCTCCATTTTCTTTTCTGGAATGACAAGGCCCCAGCCAGCGCTGGGGACAGGAGCTCAGAACCTTAGGGGCCGTGACCTCCTGCTCCCAGGACCCAAAGGGACGGGATTCACCCGGGCAGGGGGAGTGCTCTGTTGTCCCCTACCACCAGCAAAGGGACAGCATGCCCCGCCCCCAGGACACACCCAGCCCTTCCTACGGCTGGGGTCCGCACCCTCGGGGACAACCCAGCATGACTATTCAGACATCCAAAAGTCAGGAAAAAAAAAAAAAAAAAAACAGAAAAATCACTGCAAATGCAAATTGGTCACCTCAAGGTGGCTTAAGCAATAAGAGGTGCACAGGTGACATGCCACCTTGTGGAAGGGACTCGAGCACCGGTAGGTTTGGGTATCTGTTGTGAGTGGGATGTGAGGTGTCACCCAGAGGCGCCATCATCACCGTGAGCCACGCACAGGGACGCACGCCTGTCATCCCCGCAGCTCCAGAGGCTGAGGCAGGAGGATTGCAAGTTGGAGGCCAGCCTCAGCCACTTGGCCCTAAGTAAATTAGTGAGGCCCTGTCTGTTGTGCTGTGGCTGTGAGTGTCCCCAGAGCCCCCCTGGGAGGTGACACAGGAAGGTCCAGAGGAGGAGTGAGGGGGTGTGAGGCCTGAACCCCGGCACTGAATGGCTCCCTGGGGTCCCCTGGGGTCCCCTGGTGGCCCCTGGTGGGGTATGGGGAGGAGGTGGCCCTGGGGCTGTGGTATAGGGTCTCTATTTGTCCCTGGAGAGTGGAGTCTCTGCTTCCTGGTCCCCATGGGAGCTGCTCCCTCCCCACACTCTTCCTCCATGATGTCCTGCCTCCCCTCGGCCCAGGAGTGGAGCTGCCATCTGTGGACCGCGACCTCTGACCCTGAACCCCCAAAGCTGTCTACAAGTAGGTTTGGGTATCCAAGGGGGCCCGGAACCCCCCCCAGCAGATACGAAGGGAGGCCTGGGTTCCATTCTCCAGGGTTGGGGTGGGCCAGGCGGAAGTCATGCCTGTGTCTAACTTGGGTCTCTCTTGCTGTGGTGCCCCTCTCCCTTGGAACGAGGCTCTACTCAGCCCCACTGTGAGAATTTCAGTTAACAACCAGCTGGGACCTGAATGGGGCCGGAAGGAGCAAGGGCCCTGGGGTCTCCACTCCAACACCCTGACCCTGTCCCCGGGCCTCAGAAAGAAGAAGGCATTCCCCAGGAGCTAGGAAAGGTCCCCCCAAAACTGTCCCCTCTGGCCTTGTCCCTCAGACCCTGTCCCTTCCACAGGGGTGTGACTGACACAGCAGGCAGGGCACAGGACCCAGGGACGCTTAGCCACCGAGCCACATCCCAGCCCCCGTTTTAATATTTGATTTTGAGACGGGGTCTCGCTGAGCTGCTCAGGGCCTGGCTAAGCGGTTGGGCCACCTTGAAGCAGTGCTACTGGCCCCTCAAGGAGACCCAGCTCCCTCCTGGGCCATCAAGGTCAGGGGACTGACAAGCCTGGGGCCCAAAGCTCTAGGTCCTGTCCCTTCCCCACCCCCTCCGCCTCTCCCAGGCCCTGGGGGTTGGACAGCAGAGGCAGAAACGGGTCACACTGACCCCTGCTTTGGGGGTGGACGATAGCACTTCTGAGCAAACCCGTTCCTCCCCAAATAACCCCCAGGTCTAAAGTGGAGGGCGGGGGTGTCCTGGAGCCCCCCCCCCCCAGCTACCGTGTCCCAGGGCTGTCATCCCACCGGGTTGGGGATGCAGCTCAGTGGTAGAGCCCCCCCGGGTTCAATCACTTGCACAAAATATGAAGTAATCAAAGCCGGGCCCCGGTGGTGCACACCAATCCTCCCAGCACCTGGGGAGGCTGAGGCAGGAGGATCGCAAGTTGGAGGCCAGCCTCAGCCATTTAGAGAAGAGGCCCTGAGCAACTTCATGAGACCCTGTTCTCAAAATAAATTTTTTTTTTTTTTTAAAAGGGATGTGGCTCAGTGGTAAATCACCCCCAGGTTCAATCCCTGGTGCCAATAAATATAAATAATTTTTTAAAAAATGCTCTAGGGTTTACACCCCTTCTGGACTGGGAGGGTGGAGACGGAGTCTCGGACAAAGCAGCCTCTCAAAGCCCTGGAAAGCACACCCACGGTGCCTGGTGGCCAGCCTGGGGAGCGGGCCCTACAGAGAACGGGGCTTCCCGGGGCGGGTGGCACCTCTGGTCATGGCCAGTTTCCAGGCCGCTTCTTGCTGGAAGGCTCGCATCTGCTCCTCCCCTGCCTGTAGCTCCCTGTCCTCTGCCTCCTCCTCCAGCAACAGCTCGCGACGCAGGTGGCTCTGCTTGGTGGACACCTTGGAGGAGACGGTCGTCTTCTGGTGGACCTGCATGGCCTTCCTCTGCTCCCGCTCCTAGGGACATGGTTGTGTCAGTCACATTTAACTGAGGGCCTCAAGTTTTGAGGTGCTGAGTATCACAGTCGCATTTAACGGAGGGCCTCATGTTTTGAGGTGCTGAGTATCACAGTCTCACTTAACGGAGGGCCTCATGTTTTGAGGTGCTGAGTATCACAGTCGCATTTAACT